GTAGCTAGGATTACAGGCGTGAGCCACCAGCGCCCGGCTGTGTTTTTTATTCTTATATTTTAAAAAATAAAATCAGGTATGGAGAATTCAGCATTATCTTTAATAAGAGGCCGGTGGGGGGGGGAAGACCTAGATATTATATCACAAATAAAGAGGTATGAAATAATTTAATGTTATAACATCTGGGTACAATTTGGACCTATCATGTACAAAAGAGTCTAACAATTCAACATAAAATTTAAATAAATCTATCTGAAAAATAAATTGTAAAAGATTTCTTCCAAAGAACAATTTCTCTCTGAATTCATCTTGATGGAAAATGTAAATTAAGATTTTTTTTTGCTAAAACTAAGGTTTTTTTTTTAGCTAATTGCTAATTTGCTAAAGTGAAAGGTTGTGTTTTCTAAACACAGCATCTACTTCTTCCCAAAGGACTCTTGCCCATTGTTGAGCACTAACACATGTGTATTATAGCCTTCATCTCTTAAGCAGGTCCCTGGCTCCTTTAAGATCAAACGCGAACTTCTTGCTGCAGGATTTACAACCCATCCCATCAAAACACACACTGCTATCCAAACATGCCATTCATTTTCATGTCTGTGACCCCAGTGCTCTCTCCTGCTAATTAACCTGCCAAACTTCCCCTTTTTTTTCAAGGCCTAACGTAAATAGCATTGATTCCCTGCAAACTCTCATGCCCTAGGAAGAAGTAAATTCTTTCTCCTTGTCCACCAACAGCTCTGTGTACACACCTCTCTTGCACGATTGCACGAAACTATATTTACACACACACACACATACATATATATGCCTGTCCCCTGGGCTAGTTTCTGAGTTTCTAGAGGGAATGGATCACATCTTATTCATGAGGCATTTCCAGGGCTTGACCTGGTGACAGGCACTAAGTAAGTGTTTACGGAGTGAAGGCAAAGATCCTGTCAGAAACCCCTGTTCTTTGTCATCACACTCCCTTAAACAACACAAGTGGGATAGAGCTTAAGAATCCACTTAACAATAATTGGCTCATTTAAATCACATATTTATTCATTCATCCGATGTATTCAGAGCAAATGCTGATGCCTGCGGTGGGTACTTGGGGGATGGGGTAAGCAGAGCCAGCAAGACCAACGGGACATGGGTCAGGGGCGGCTTGACTTGTGGTAGGAGCAGCAGACATTAAATGTGGAGAAAGTGAATACTACCATCCTGAATTTTGAGAAGGGCCAGGAAGGAGACAAATGCCAAAGGATGGCCTAGAGCACTGGTTGAAAAGCAGGGGAATCTGTTGAGAATGTTCGGGGTAGTGAGGGACATTCTTGGCCACAGGCCAAGGAACACTCCCTTTTCTTTGCCAGACCTTAAATTAATTAGCTCTATTTTTATAAGGCAGGGAGTCAAAGATATAGAACGCCATGAAACCCACCGTCACTCAAAGGGTTCTTTTCTCCATGTTCCTATTATTTTTAGCAAGAAGGGTTGTTGTTGTTTTGTAAGTTGACAATCCCATATTTGCACTTAGTGTTTTTAGCTTACCACTTCTGGTATATTGTTTTTTCCTTTTTATTTCAAAAGTTAAAATGGTGATGCTTCCTCCCTTTTACAACACATAGTCACAAAATATATTGTCACAAATACATAGTTGTAAAAATACATTGCTAGAAGAAGAATGGAGAAAAAAGAGAGATACTAGGATATAAGGCAGACAAGCTCTAGGAACACACCTCTTCTAGTACTCAATGTACCACCAATGGCTAACCAACATGACACCCAATTACAGCTTTCCTTCCTTAACTTGGAGACTCTGAGAGGGAGAATATGTCTATATTTATGAGGAATATTACAAAATTGTGGGGAAGTATGCATCATTTCTCATGACGTACAAAAACGTAAAAAAACATGAGAAAAAACATGCTTTTGTTCTCTTCTCCAGTAACATACAAATCATCTCTGAATATTAACAGCACAATTGTGGCAGTACATATTCTAAGGGCAGCATGACAGTTTTCTAAGCCTTTTTCTTCCCAGATGAAAGAAAGTTAAGTGACAAATAAGTGTGTGTGTGTGTGTGTGTGTGTGTGTGTGTGTGTGTGTGTGTGTTTGTGTTTTGCTGGGAATTAAACTCAAGGCCTATGTACAACAGCCAAGTGCATAAATCTACCTAACACTGAGGTATGTCTCCCACTGAGGTATGTCTTAACCCCAAATGATCTTCGTATGGATGAGAGGACCGCATGGCACCAAGGTGTCCAGGCACCAGGGCTTATTCTATCAGGGGTGACCAACGAGGCTCTATGCTGAGCGAGGGAAGAATCGGAGGTTTCTGAGCAGAAACGATAGTACTGAGATCAACTAAAAGGGAGGCTTCAGGTAGCTAGTGTTGAGAAAGTGCTCTGGGCATTTACAGAAGGTGTTGATCCTGGCTGGAGGATGCTGAGATGGACAGAAAGGACCAGAGGATAAGGTAGAGAAGACGGGGGAGGCTGAGACTAGACTTCTCAAAAAGAACAAACTGAAAATATCCCCATGTAGAAACATACAAAGCACCAAATGCTTTGTAAAAAATATAAAGCTAAAAAAAAAAAAAACCTAGTTTCCAACAGCTACTTAATTTGACAGTGGCTGGTCATGAATACATTTACTACCATTCACTGGGACACAATCTAAGGAATTTAAAGACCTGTTCATTATCTGTTACTTTGGGCACTGGTTTATTGGAGATAAGTCTCACGGATTTTCTTGCCCAGACTGGCTTTGAACCTTGATCCTCAGATCTCAGCCTCCGAGTAGCTTGGATTACAGGTGAGAGCCACCGGTGCCCAACTGGGCTGTTTCTTTCTTTGTGGCTGCTGTCTTCCTCTGGGCCCTGCTTGCTTTAAGAGCTGCATACTCCTATTTAGTCATGCAAGTACCTGAGAGGTGTAATAGACGTGGATACTTTTTGGTGGATGTAACACTGACCAATAGAAAAATGTTGAAGAAAATTTTATAGCAACATGTGTGTATGTTTGTGCACAAATGCATGCACATGCATATATGCATACTACATGCCAGTATTGGGGGCTTGAAATCTTTAGACTTTTTTTTCAAGGCTGGTACTTACCACTTGAGCCACTTCCAGCTTTTTGCTAGTTAATTAGAGGTAAGAGTCTCGAACTACCATCCTCGTGTCTCAGCCTCCTAAGTAGCTAGGATTACAAGTATGAGCCACTGACGTCTATCTTCATTCTTTATTTTGTTCATTTTAATGCTAAATGCCCCGTGAGACCCACTTTCCTCTTCTTCTTATGTTGCAGAAGAACGATAATTTTCACATGCATACCTGATCTTGTCACTCTGCTGTTAAAGCCCTCAGAGGTTTCCTGTTTCTGTTTCTGAGAGGATAAAGTACAACACATCAACAGGTCTGCATGCGTCTCCAGTTTCATTTGGTGCACTTCTCATCCACTGCTGCTTCTTCTGTTAAGTTCTGCAGTGACACTGATGGTTGTCTATTCATTCTCCTGGGCCCTAGCTCACAGTAACTCATCTTTGATGTGTCGGTATAAGCAATAGTTTTCACAGATTTTTCAACATTCATCCTCCCTGGACTAGCTGAACCAGTCCTCTACTCCCCACCCCCATATCTGAATAATCTTATACTACTTCTTCAAGGCATCCACTATCTGAGGGAATTGGAAAGTCTGCCTCTAGAATGTATGTAGATTCCATGACGTGAACAGTATATTCATTGTTTTACAACAAGCTCTTTTTTGGGGAGGGGGAAGTCTGGTCGTGGGGCCTGAACTCTGGGCCTGGGCGCTGTCCCTCAGCTCTTCAGCTCAAGGCTAGCGCTCTACCACTTGAGCCACAGCACACTTCCAGCTTTTTTCTTTTTGCTTATGTGGTGCTGAGGAATCGAACCCAGGGCCTCATGCATGCAAGGCAAGCGTTCTACCACTGAGCCACCTTCACAGCCCTTACAACAAGCTCTTGAACTTGTACTTTACCCTAGTTGTTGCTGTTTTTTTTATTTAGTTACTGTTATTGTCAAAGTGATGTACAGAGGGGTTATAGTTATCTAAGTCAACTAATAAGTTGCTGCTGTTTTTGCTGATTATACAAGTGGATAAAATAGAAGGAAGGAAGTATGGGACTTGGGTCGTTAGCATTGCATTTCTCCTCTGTGTGTGTGTGTGTGTGTGTGTGTGTGTGTGTGTGTGTTCATGTGTGTGTGCATGTGTGTGATTGTGCCTTGAACTCTGGGCTTGGGCACTGTCCCTTAGCTTATTTGCTCAATGTTATTATTCTACCACTTCAAGCCTTTTGGTGGTTAATTGGTGGAAAGTGTCTCATAGTCTTTCCTGCATGGGTTGGTTTCAAACCTCAACCCTCAACTCTCAGCCTCCTGAGTAGCTGGGGTTACAAGTATGAGCCACAAACATCCAGCTGCTCTTATTCTTCTTTGAATCTCTAAAATTAGACCTTCTGAATCCTATCAACAATCCAGCTATAAAAATATCAAATACACTTTAATGTGCATATTGTACATTTAAAGTGAATATTAGCCAAAAATGTGCAGCATAGAATAACTAGAGAAATTGTGTAGCACTGTCTATCTCAATGTATTGTCTTTTCCTTTCTGATTTTGGTACTAGAGATTGAATCTAGTGCCTCATGCTTGCTAGGTAAGTGCCACACCCCTCAGTTCTTTGCTTGGATTTTACTCTTAGATATGATCTCACTAACTGTGCCTAGGCTGGTCCCAAACTCCAACCCTCCTGCCTCCACTTCCTGA